AATATATATATATATATATATATATATATATATATATTAGATTTTTCAATTGATTTTTCAATTAAAATCCAAATTTCCAACCGATGTCCGTTGGAATTTTTTTTTAAAATTTTTCAAAAAAATTTCCAACCGATATCCGTTGGAATTCCGTTCGAATTTTTTTCAACCAACATCCGTCGGAATTCCGTTGGATATTTCCAACCCATTTTTCCAACCGATATCCGTTGGAAATACCGTTGAAAATTTTCAACCCAATTTTTCAATTGAATACGTTGAAAATTCCATTAAAAATTTCCAACGGGCATTTCCAACGGATATTCATTGGAAATTTCAACGGAATTTTAATGGAAATCGTCGTTGAAACGCCGTTGAAAATCCGTTGGAAAAATTTCCAACGGACAAATCCGTTGGAATCCGTTGGAAAATCCGTTGGAATTCGGTGATTTTTTTGTAGTGCTATGCACACGGGGAGTACATTACCTATGCATGGTGCTCGTAGAGACGATTTGACGGACTCTGTCTTGTGACTTGTCGTACGGACTTGATTGTGATTGCTGCATGCTTATCGTGATTCCATGCTTCATTCCTGTTTATTAGTATACTAATATATATATATGTATTTGTTTTCCCTGGTCTCATGAGAATGGAACTCCGGGTTACGACCGAGTTCACTCTCTAAGCAATTAGCTTAGGACGTTGTTACACAACGTTTCAGGTCGTGAGCAGCAGTAGCCGAGGAGCGGACATCGGAGACCTGGGCAGTGTACCACTACCGATCATGTATAATTACGTATTTTGATACATTTATATTTCGGAGAACGTTTTGTGTTATATCGGTGGTAGACTTTTTTTAAGGTTTGTAATAAGGTTATACTGCCACTTGATTATATATAATTATAAATGGAAATAATGTATCATATATGTATGTACGAGTGTTTTCTTCCGCTAACTCTGAAAAGAAAAGTTTTAAATTCCCGCGGATTTTCAGAAATTGAGTTTTTATTTTAGTTGTCCATGTGACGCAACTCGTATTGCAGGGTGCAGGTTTCGGGCGTTACAGGTTATATTTTTTAATCGGGCTTATTCTTCTGCTAAATAACACTTATTTTGGCCCAACAATATACCTGGGCCCCTGTTTTTTTATCAAACTTCCCTAGTCTTAATGAATGAAAATTAGCAGCCCAAAAATAATATAAAAACAATAATAAGGTCCAAACAATGAAATATTTATTAGAAAAAAGAGAAATATTTGTTTATAAATTAAAATGCGGGGTCGATAGAGGGTCCTTCAAATCTGAGATAATCGTACATGAGGCCATTGAAAGGTCCAATGTTAATGGGCTGAGTGAGAAAGAGAGTGTTAGTGTCTCCCTCAATGAGCAAATCACTCGGTACGTCTACACTGTAGAGCCTGTAAATCCCATGTATCCCATGTCTTGCAATTGCGTTGTCATGTCCTATTACACCCGTTGTGTACATTGGCGGGTCTTGATTCATGTCATTTAGCCTCACCTATTCACCAAACGACAAAAAAAAAGGAATGTATCAAAAGAGATTAGTATTAGTATTATATATATAAGGGGGTCAACACGAGTTTAATTCGCGAATTGACTCATTATCGACTCGTGTTTTTAGCATTCTAATAAGCATTTTTAAAGATCGTTTGAAAAAGAATCTAACGAGGTACCTCATCACATTTCGCGACGTGGGATATTTTTTTTAAATATATATTTTTATATTTTATTTATTTTTTATATATTTTATAAAAAAAATTAAGACAATTTAATTTTGTTCTTCAATATATTTAATAAAATTTTTTTATATATTTAAGTTTGATATTTTAATATTTAAATCTCATATCGTTTAGCTCAAAAAATTGGCGAATTGAGTTGAACCAAAGTTTTTTTTATTCGTTTGAAAACGAATATGACAAGTTAACTCAAAACGAACTGACTCGTCACGTGAACCGAGTTGTATGATAGTCTTATATATATATGTTTGACACCTCTATATATATACATACATATATAAAAACTGAATTCAAATTATATCTTTGGATGATCTTTTATATAAAAGAAATCAGAAATGACGAAGACTTGATTATAGATTATAAAAAAACAATTTTATTGTTTAAAATCGAATTTGATAATATTAAATAATATTCGAAGATGATCAGGATTTCAACTGAATATGTAAATTTTGATAATTTCTTGTTTCTAAATGGATTTGATTCGTTAAAACTAAATCAACCGAGTTTAATCGAAATCATTTGAATTGAATATAAAAATAAATAAATATAAAAGCCAAAACAACTTTAAAAAAAATGAAAAGAAAAAAAGGCTAACCTGCAATTCTGCAACATTGGCAGTGGCTAAGGCTATTCTGAGTTTGTAAGAGTTGTTCTTGTCGACACTATCCATCACAAACTTGATCTTCCATGTCGTTCTTTCGTACGCATCCTCCCCTCTTTTTCTACGATATTCATCCATTACGCTATTTCTAATCATTTCTATATATCTATATTCTTATTTTTGTTATAATTCGAAAGGTCATAGAAACTTCGGTCTAACTAAATCTCCCAAAAGAGAGGAGAAGTGTATACGGATACCCTTTCCAAAACAGAAATTTGAATCTGGATTGAGAATAAGTTTTGTCCTATATATTAACAAATGAGCCACCAATCTTGGGTATTTACCTACTTTCTTGATATAAAGTATTATAGTCAGGGCGTCTAATATCATGTGCAAAATGGTTATGGGTGTTTTTTTAATAAAATTAATTATTAATGATGATATATAATTATTAAACGACTATAACTATGGTGGAATATGTAGAAATAAAATTGTACTTCTTTTCATTAACTTAGAGCTTTTATTAAATAAATTAAAGTATTTATTTAAGAAAATTAAAATGAAATATATAAATAGAGGCCTTACAAAAATTATAATTTTTATTTTAATATTTTAATAGTAACAATATTAATTTTCAAAAAAATTCATATTTTTATAATAAAAAATTACAAAAATATTTGACACTAATTCCGATTATAATAGTTGTTAGGAGTGATAATTTCCATTCAGTTATGCAAAATCAAACTGATTTGGATCAAATAACATATTATTTTATCTAAAATAAATGTAATATGAAAATCGAATGATTATAATTTTTTGAAAAATAAAAATCCAAATTGGAATGATAATTAATCCGAAAAAATTGAATTTTTTTTGAAAAAATATATTTTTCATCAATTTGAATATAAAAACGAAAGTTATTTTTTTTAAAAAGAATAACCGAATCCAAATCTAATCAAACCGAAATCCAAAACAATCACCTTTAGTAATTGTGTCCGTTTTCGGGTTTTAAATTAGGTTTTCTCTCTCTATTTTGATTAAAAGGTTTTCTATATATTAATACATAGGTTTCCTACACTTACACAAATACTATATAATACACATACAAAAATTGGATACTGTACAATTCGATTGATCATACCTTGTAACGTGTGCGAAAAACCAATCTTTTTTATAATCACTAAGGCCAACGGTGTAAACCAAATCCTCTTGAGGGTACGTTTCCTCATACCTTTCCCACAAACCGTACTGTCTGAACCTGCAGCGTTAAAACGGTCAATCTAATTCAGTTTAGTTCATTTTCTGTCTTTTTGTTAAAGAGAATTTAAATCTGTAGAAAAAAAGGAGTTGAAAAACGTTACTCATCAGGATGATCAATGTACAATTTGTTGATGTAATTAGGGTTTGGATCCGGGACGTAGAACTCGGCTGCAGAGCGATCCGGTACGCCGATTTCCCAAAGCGTCGGCCCGTCTCGTGGAGGTCGATGCACGATATTGCCAACATCGATATCACAACCTGTTTTTCGTGTAACGTTTTCGTGAATGACACAGATCTGAAAAATGATTGATTCAATATAGATTCGTTCACAAGGATATCGGTTCGAACATTTTCGAATGAAAATATTACCTGCAGTGATGCTAATCTCTTGTTCGTATTGGAAATCACCGATGAATCCCGGCACGTAAGCGTTTAGATTGTATTCGCCTTCTCGGATATTATTGATCATGAAGTATCCATCTTCATCAGCTTCTGTCCAAAACTGGTAACCCTGTGAAGATTTCGAAACACAACAGAGGTTTCATATGTTTGTCCTTACAACATGTTTGTATCTTGTAGTATTTAGTTAATGTATTATGATGTACTTTGGATTCAAGTTGCCACGATCCGGGCTCTCCAGGTGGCGTTAAACCGATGAAAGCACCATTTGCGGGTAAATTTCCGTCGTTAACGAACCTAAAACATCATTGTAACTATGTTAGAAGCATAACAAAAAAGTGTTTCAGATGATGAAATCTCAAGACAAGAAAAGACTTTACTTGTCACAAACTAATATTCTTCCGCTTATGCTACCTCGTTGATCCGAGGCAGGAAAGTCTTCGGAAGCTGGAAAATCGTAGGGCCAGCTTTCGACTTCGATAAGCATCTAAACAGTTCCATACTTGGATTTCATCATGGATCTCCATAATGCGATGTAACGAAACTTAAAGAATACGAATTTACAGTGCGAAAAACCTGGTTTTTGGCATCTCGCCACAACGAAGAAATAGAATCGGTAACGCCGTCTGGTAAGCAATTGAGGTAAGTGAAAACAGGTCCGAACACTTTCTTCCATGCCTCCCCTGCTTTGATCTTCATCACCATATCCTCACCGGCGTAATGGGCACTCAAAAACATCTGTTTATATTCGTTTTTATTGTTCAAATGCCAAGAACCCCAGATCCTATGTCGTGCATATCAGTCGAAAGATTCGACCTTTTTTCGATAAGATCGGAGGAAGTTATACATACCGAGAGACTGATTGGGCCGACGTGAGAGGTAAGATTCTGTTTCGAGAGCCCGCCTGATCGGAACTCGTTACTTGGAATGATCTGCCAACACCCGAGAGGCGGATTCTGCGATATCCAACCGTGAACTCGCAAATCTTTGTTCTCGCACGAGTACTGATACTTATCATCGACCTTTTTTTTGTGAATTCAACCATCAAAACAACAAAATCTGTGACATTTCAAAACTAAAACACTATATATAGATTTGGAATTTGGGGGTACAGATTAGAAATCAAAACCTCTCCTTTGAATTCTTCTTCGACAGGATGAACAAGAAGAACGGCTTCGGGGTAAGCCAATGCTCTTCCTCGTCTCGGCAATCTGTCTTCGGGCAATGGCATTTTCCTCTGTCTGTTGTCTGCAACTGCCATATACCGGAACCTGTGATATTTTATATACAAAATCTTCGTTAGTTTAAGGATTAACATTAACATTTTTTGGGGGTTTTCTGCATAATTTCGATCTTTCCAAATGAATAAAACATTTTAGGAATTACTTGTCCTTTCTAAGCCTGAAGACAATCCTTGTCTGAGGCAAGTTAAAAGCTGGCCATTCAGCAAGATGCTCGTAGATTGCATATGAATAGAACCCAGATGAATCTCTTAGCATTATATACCTGAAAATATAAAAAAAATGAAATTAATAAAATTCATATATATATATATATATATGAAAGCATATGCATATTACCAGAACAATCTAGTGGTGTCATCATAGAACATGCTCCACAAATTTTGGAGTCCATTTTTAAAATAATTATTAGAGAGATTCACATATTAAATATTGAACTTTAACTAAATTTCTAAATTAAATACTCAACTATCTCATTCCCAAATTAAATACTCAACTATATTTAAACTGATAAATAAAAATTAAACTTTTCAAATTTTAACATATATTTAAGGGATAATCTAAAAAAAATCCTATACTTTTTTTTCGTCGCAATTTAAACCTTATACTTTTATTTATCCAAAAAAACCCTATACTTTTCAAATTTTAAAAAATTATACATATTCATATACACATATTAATTATTATAAGCACAAAATTAAATACACATTTATTTTCCATAAAATTAATTACACATTTATTTTTCACAAAATTAATTACACATTTATTTTATATATTTATATGTATATATGTTTTATATATATGTGTGATATATGTATTTTTTCCTAAAAATCATTATATATATAAAAAAACTATTTATTATTTGTATATTGTTTTATATATAAGAAACTATTTTCCAAGAATATGTTTTTTTGGACAATTGAACACATATAAAATAATATACAAATAATAAATAGTTTCTTATATATAATGATTTTTAGGAAAAAAATACATATATCACACATATATATAAAACATATATATACATATAAATATATAAAATAAATTGTGTAATTAATTTTGTAGAAAATAAATGTGTAATTAATTTTGTAGTTATAATAATTAATATGTGCATATGAATGTGTATAATTTTTAAAATTTTGAAAAGTATAGGGTTTAAATTGCGACGAAAAAAAAGTATAAAGTTTTTTTTGAGACCATCCCTTAAATATATGTTAAAATTTAAAAATTTTAGTTTTTATTTGTCAGTTTAAATATAGTTGAGTATTTAATTTGGAAATTTGGTTAAAGTTCAATATTTAATATGTGAATCTCCCTAATTATTAATGAAAGATAATAATTAATTAACACAAATAAAAGTGTGGTTAAATATCTAGTGTGGATCAAAAAAATTTTATTTTTAAAACTTAAGTATAATAATGGATAAAATTCATTTTTTTGTTATTAATTCTAGAATTTAAGATGATTAATTTATTTACTATTGAATAAATAAATACATATCAACGATTACAAAGAATTAAGAAACTCATTTATGAGTTCTTTTAAAGATATTATGTTGTTAATTATAGTTAACAACAATTATTTAATATCGTTAAATTAAATTAATTTTATAATTACTAAAATATATTTTAAAAATAAAAAAATATTATCTATTTATAATGATAGATGATTTATTTTAAATAAAGAATAATAATTATCTAAGATATTAATTTATTTTTCTATTTCTTTTTGTTTCAATGTAAATATTTGTATTTATACATAAATTTTAAAAAAATTATTATTTTATTGTAAAACTAGTGTATATTTTTCAAATTGTATATTTATTGAATAATAGATATTTATATCATTTTTAAATGTTATTATAGATAATATAATATTAAAAAAATAAATTAATTTTACGATTAATAATATTTTATTATATAATTTTTTAATTTTTATTAATTAATTTTTATAATATGTAATGGGCCTCAATTTTTATTTTTTTTGGGACGGCTCTCCATGTTACCTCTTGTCAATGTTAATTGGTACGATTTTGCCTTGAAGAGATGTGTCCCATTTTCTGGAGAAGGATATCTCTACTTGTTCCTCATTCTCTGCTACTACTTCGAAACTTGTCCCACTGATCCTGCAAATACCAATTGCTATATCATCACGACTATATATTACTAAATAAATCATTAATATTGTATGGCTTATATATATATATCACCCAAAAATTATCCGATCAATCCATTAGTAAATCTTTGTAAACCGAGATAATTAAAAAACTGAAGTTTTTATTTATTAAAATTACAAAAATTACCTTTATATAGTTTTTTTTATTTATGAATTTAACACTTATTTTTAATTACATAATTATCTCTAATATTTATTAAAATTATAAAACTATTTTTTTCCTTCCAAAACACCGGTTCGGAGTTTCGGATTCATAGATATCTTAGATCCACTTATACGAGATTGAGTTTCAAGTTTTAATATCCGCAATAATCGGATAAAGTTTTGAATATCATAAAATTTTTGGATATACGATACGTGATTTATTAATAATATATTTATATATTATAAAAAGATAGAGCTAAAAAAGTTTTTAACTTTTTATATTTTTCACAACATGAAGTTAAAAAAAAAGAGGGAATCTTGAATTTTGGCCAACCAAAAGCAAAGTAATTCAAGAGAATAAAAAGAAGAAGCTAAGTGCTCAAAATTATTACAAGAGGAGAAAGAAGATCTGAGTGGTATATAGACGTACACTTCATCTGTCCCCGTTGTTCCTCCACTTCCTTCTTCACTCCACACAAGATCCCAATACCTGCATTTATTATCACACCTCCTCAAGCTCAAGTTTTTTTTTTTTTTTGATGAAATGTGATTGAATTAATACCAAAGAAAACAAATGTCATAATATTTACAAATTAGAGATAGCTCTAAACAGATCTCCCATAAACAGATGGGAAAAATTACATGTTCCTACATGAAGTAATGCGATACCACTGTTGTAATAATTTGTTTTCTGTCGCGCCCGGATTATGGAGAGAGATTAGTTTGTTCCTCATGGTCCGATCAACCTTGAGTCTTACTTGATGGATAGTAAGGTGTCGGTCTCTATGAATGCGAGAATTCCTTTCCATCCAAATGGTGTATGTGATAACCTGCGTGAGTAACTTCTTAATCGTAGCTTCGTCACGGTTCGTAGATTGGTTGGTCCAATCCAGAAAGTATCGGATATGTGTCGGAGGGGGGTCTTCCATTAGCCGTCCAAAGTGCAACCAAATCGAGCGACTAAATCTGCAACCAAAGAACAGGTGGGGATGTGATTCCAAGTCGGCGCAACATAGAATGCACCGATTCGGAGCTTGGATTCCCCACGTCTCGAGCCGGTCGGTAGTCGGGAGACGTTCTTGGAGCACCTGCCACGTTAAGAACGCATGCCTTGGAGTAGCCTGTCGGAACCATGCTAAGCCACAGCCTTCAAACGCAGTTCCCGGAGATCTTAGTTGTTCCCATGTTTGCCTAGAGGAAAAGAAGGTCTTTCGAGTGCCTCCCATGTGTCGCCAGGTTGGGAGGTCCGGACCAGCATCATTAGTCGGTGGATTCAGCTCTAGCAGCTTCAGATGTAGCTCTTGTATTCTATTGCTTCTCGCCGGCGGAAGAGACCAATTGCCGTTGCGCACAGCATCGGCTACAGTGGCACTCTTCGGCAACCGCAGTAGACCTGGTCCTGTTTCACCAATAAACACAATGAGAGGGCCAATATCTAGCCAAGAGTCATACCAGAATGATGTATCTCTCCCATTTCCGAGCTTGACTCCAATGAATTCCCGGGCCTGATTGCGCATCTGTAGCAGCTTACGCAGATTCCAGCTCACATTTTGATGTGCCTTGAGTCCCCAGTAGGATTTGTCCTTGAAGATGTTCGATTTCACCCAAGCTACCCATAGTGAACCTGCTTTACTAAACAACAACCAAACCAATTTTAGTCGGAACACCTTATTGAATTCGTCCAATCTTCGTAGTCCAAGTCCTCCCTCTGTTCTCGGTTTACATATCGCATCCCAAGCTATACGGTGACTCGGAGTCGAGTTGGTTGAGTGTTGCCATAGGAAAGCCGCACATAAACTGTCAATCTCTTTGAGAAGATACTTTGGCAGCAAAAACGTCATGCTCCAGGAGTTCACTAGACCGTATATGACGGTCGTGATCAGCTGGATCTTTCCCATTGAAGAGAGGAATTTAGTTTGCCAATTGGTGAGCTTAGACTTGACTTTTTGAAGAAGTGGTAGGTAGTCAGTCTTGGATAACCTAGTGGGGCTCAATGGGACCCCCAAATAGCGAACCGGGAGGTGCCCCATTCCAATACCCACCGCAGTGGAGATGGCGATCTGCTCATCAATCGAACATCCTGCAAGAAACAACTCAGATTTTTCCGGATTAATCTGAAGCCCAGATAAGTTGCTGAAGTCATGGAGCACCCTTTTCACTTCCATTAGCGATTGAACATCCCCTTTGGAAAAGATGATGATGTCATCCGCAAAAGAGAGATGACTGATCAACGGGCTTTTGCATCTATAGTGTGGCTGGATTTTTCCTTCCATAATCGAACGATCCAACATCCGACTTAATATCTCCATGGCCATGATGAACAAATAAGGTGAGAGTGGGTCTCCTTGCCTTAGACCTTTGCGTCCCTTGAAGTAACCTGCAAGATCACCATTCACCGAAATAGAGAATTTAGGTGTAGAGATACATACCTCGATCCAACGGGTGAACCTCGGAGGTAAGCTCATAGCTTTGAGGAGTTGGATTATTGTGCCCCATTCTAACGAGTCGAACGCTTTCCGGATATCAATCTTTATCATGGCGCTTTTGTGGGCCGAATTCCGATTGTACTCTCGTATGATCTCTGAGGCAAGGAGAACGTTCTCCACCATTAGTCTTCCCTTTAGGAAGGCGTTTTGATTCGCCGAGACCAACCTTTGTGCCACAGAACGCAATCGCTTGGTAAGGATAGTTGCGATGACCTTGTAGATCGTATTGCAACAACTTATCGGACGAAAATCTGAGAGTTTCTTGGCTCCCTCTTTCTTCGGGACAAGGGTAATGGATGTTGCATTGAGCTGACCGAGAAGAGTGCTCGTGACGAAGAATTCCCTGACAGCTTTTGTTACTGCCCCACCTACTATTGACCAGGTCTCTGTGTAGAATTCTTTTGGAAACCCGTCAGGTCCGGGCGCCTTGTTGTTGGGTAAGCCAAACACTACCCCACGGATTTCTTCTTCAGAGGGGATACTGTCTATCACTCCTATAACTCTTTCATCGTCATGAAATCTGATCAGATTTCTCAGCCAAGACACCGTCGGTTTCTGTACAGTCAAGTCACTGATTCCAAGAAGCTGAGAGTAGAAGGAGACAGCAAAGTCCTTGATGTCTGTCTGGGATGTCAGCCTGTTTCCCTGGTGATCCTCAAGGAAATGAATCTGGTTTTGTGAATTCCGCGTAGATGTGACTTTGTGGAAGTAGGCCGTGTTTCTATCTCCTAGCCGTAGCCATTTGATTCTGGACCGCTGCTTGTAAAACTTTTCTTCGGCTAGGGCCAACAACATGAACTGCCTCCGTTGTTCCTTTTCCTCAGCTAGATTCCTCGGAGTCGGGAAAGATAGCAAAGTGGTTTGAGCGTCTGCTAATCGAGTTTCGGCTTCCTGGACTCTTAAAGACAGCTGAGAGAATGCGGTTTTATTGAGGCTTCTTAGCGGAATTTTCAATTGTTTCAAGGACCGACATAGTTGATATTGGGCAGTGCCCTCGATTCCATCTGCTAGCCAATTGGTTCTGACTACCTGCAAAAACTCAGGAAGCAAAGTGAGGTGATGGAAAAATTTGTAAGGACGGCGTACCTGAGGAAGAGAGTCCGGAAAATGGACTAGGCAAGGGGTGTGATCCGAGTGACCCGGGGGTAGAAATTCAGCATATGCATTCGGATACGTAGCTCTCCATGGGGCGTTTGCCATTGCTCGATCAAGCTTAATCGAGAGAGGGGCGGTGGTGTGGTTGTTACACCATGTGAAGGTTAGTCCCCTAGACGGCACGTCCGAGATTTCAGCTAGCTGTACACATTCCGTGAGTTCTCGCATTCCCTGTTGTGAAGTTAAACATACCGGAAAGTCTGATCTGTCTGTTGGCACAAGAGTTTGGTTAAAATCCCCAAGGACAATCCAGGGAGACTGAGCAACAAGAGGGTATCGACCAATGAGCGTTAGGTGTTCCCATAGGATTCTACGCTCACTCATAAGTGTGGAGGCGTAAACAAAGGTAGCAGTAAGTGTTATACCCGACCCTCTGTTTTCAATTCCACAAGTGACTGCCTGTTTGGTGTGGCAGTAGATCGTGACTAAGGTTGTTGGTTCCCATACAATCCAAATCCGAGCTGTATTATGGTCTCCAAAAAAACAGACATGTTTCCACCCAAGTGGTAACGCAGCAGAAATTCTCTCAAAATTTGCCTCTTGGATGTGGGTTTCAAGAAGGGCTCCCACTAGTGGTTGCTTCTCCAAAATCCACTTCCTAGTCAAAAATCTTTTATTCGGGCTATTTAAGCCTCTTATATTCCAAGCAAAAAGCATAGGAATCCGGAAAGTTAATACCCTTTCGTGGACTTGCGTCCACGACCTCTTGATTTCGCCTTAGCTGGACTATTCTTGGTCGGCTGTCTACTTATGGTCGGTTGGCCCGGAGCAGTGGTAGGCGGATCCAGAAAACATGGGGAAGAAGTTTCTGCAACCTCCTTGGTAGACTGAACTTGGATAGTTCCCGGGGAGAGTGCAGCAATCGAGTCTTCTGTGGGCATGATAGGGGATTTGGAAGCCTCCTCGCATGATCCAAGTGCTGGGATTCCCGATGAAGGGGGCGATGACACAGAATTATATGGTGGATCAGCTGGCTTCTCCTGGATAGTCTGATGATTCCTTGAGGCAGACTGAGCCTCTGGTTGCTTCGTTGAAGCCCGCGGTGGGGGGGGCTTGACAGGGCAATGATGTTGGTTATGGCCAAGCACGGAGCAATGGTTGCATGTGGGGGGCAGCCAATCATATGAGACATCAATCACAAAGTCTTCTCCTTTTGGTGACTTGACCATAATACTTCTAGGTGGTTGCAGCCGAAGGTTAACGTCCACATAGATGCGAGCAACCGATATATTCTCTTTATTTGCTGTTGCTCTGTCCGGATAAAGGGGATTACCAACCGCAGTGGCTAGTCTACTCAATGTATCCGTAGTGAACAAGGTATGAGGCAGATTACGAAAGGTTACCCAAGTCGAGATCGAGGTCAGCTCGGGCTTTGTCGGAGTATGGAAGGGGTTCCATGGAGAAACGAACATAGGACACGACCCAACGTGCCAAATGCTTCTGCTCAAGGCAAGTTCCCTTGTTCTGCGATTCGGCATCTTGAATAAGAAAGTACCATGACCAACATCTTGCACTTTGACTCTCGGGCCAGTGCGCGACCAAAGAGCCTGAGAAACCCCAATGATTCTACCCATGGAGGGTGGTAGTCCGTAGAATTGTCCTACCACAAAGTCTGCCCATTCGTCAGCTGCTGCTGTCAGTGATTCGACCGGTATTTCGATAAGAGGAATTCCACTGGCGTGTGTTTTCGGCGAGCCTACCCGCTGCAGGGGCCGAAGGGACTGCTGGAGTTTCTCGCTCCATGTTGACGGTGGTTTCAGGGGAGCTTCCCCTCCGGGGATAACTTGCGATATAGAAATCGTAGGTGAAGTTCCCGTCGGGACGGGAGGCTGAGAGCCGGTCAGACCGGAATCAGGAGCTGTGGCCAGAGACTGCTGGAGTTTCTCACTCCATGTCACCGGCGGTTTCGGGGGAGCATCCACCGTGGATGCGACTTCCGGAGTGGCAGCGGCAGGTGGAGATCCGGCCGGAGCAGAGAGGGGGGCCATGGAGACGGATTGACCGAAAGAAGATGTAAGAGGCGGGGAGCTCGGCAAGCCGGAATTGGAGGTCGCAGGTGGAGATCTGGACGAGCCAGGGCCGGCGGCACGGGCTGGAGGCCCAGAGAGGGTGTCCGATGCCGCGTGATTCGCGGACGGCAGAGGAGGCGATGGCTGCTTCTGGTTGCAGCAGCTAGGTCGATCTTCGGTGGGAGACGGAGGACAGATCTCCGTCACACGAACTGCGAGAGTAGCAGGGGGAGGAGAGGAAACCTCCGGCGTACGAGTACCGGAAGCGACCAAGGAAGAAGGAGGGGGATTTCTCGGTGTGGGGCCTAAAATCCCTGGTGATGGAGGAGCTGACGAAGAACGAAGGCGTGGAGGCATGGTCAGAGAGATGGAGGCTGGCCGGAGTCAGCCCTGTGCGGTGGCGAACAATTCTTCAGTGGCGGCGGCTAGGGTTCGCTGGGAACCCTCGTGATCTCCTCAAGCTCAAGTTCATACATACATACATACATATGTATAAATTCACATACCCTCGGTGAGATTCTTCGTTGTGAGTTTCGAGTAGATTCTTGATGCCGTTGTAACATATCCCTGTGATCATACCATCTGGTTTTGATATAGTGACTTGCAGTATGCCATTGTCCATCACCACCTGCAATACCATTGTGTGTGTGTGTGTATACACACACCCATATAAAGTCTGAATTCACCATATATACATATACATATACATATACATATCCATACATATATCTCTATATATATATATATATATATATGAACGTGCAGAAAAAAAATGCACAAGGGTTTTGGTTATTACATGCTTTTCTTGGATACGTAACTCAACAACACCTTGGCCCGACATATCCGTCCTTGTGGGTTTTCGTTTATGGGTTTTCTATTTTCGAGAAGAAGCTTTTGTGTTCTTGTGTTTTCCTTCGAGTTTGAAGAGAGAGAGATATATATACACATATACATAGAAATCGAGCATGAAAATTCACACCGAAGAAAACCAAAAGTGAAAAGTGTTTGTAAACACTTTACTCAGAAGCTACTTAACAGTTATGGTCCTGTTTTTTTATTCTCCTTCAAGATTACAAAATCTGTGACGTTAAGGTTGGCGTTTATTTTAAGCATAAAAAAAGGAAAGAAAAAAATACGCTAAAATATTATCATTTTCTCAATGATTAATAGTTTTTTTCCTCTGATTTAGAGATTAATTAATTATCATCTTATCCGAATTTTGTAACATTTAAGGGACAATTGAATTGGATGTATCGATACATTTGTGGTAGCAGTTAAAACCATTTTTAATGTATATTACTTTTTGAGATTTTGAATGAATTTTATGAAGATTATGGAGAGTTAAAAAGAGTTAGAGTTATCTATTATGTAATTATATTACTAATAAAATTAGTGTTAGTGGATTAGTTTATAGTTTTTCCTTGGAATGAAGTTTATTCTCTATCTATATTTCTATACATGTTATTTGTCTTGATTAAATAATACAAAAAAAAATTATTCTACAAATCTTGGCATGGTGATTGCAAATTGTTTCGATTTTAGAATAATATATGAAATCTGCTAATTTTGATATGAATGTTATCTCTGCCTTTTCAAAGGCCGGCAAAAAGATCGTATAGGATCTTGTGAAAATTGACAAAACCGTTTGTGTTCATATATGAATATATTCGTCAACTGATTATTAGAAGGTTATTTTTTGTCAATTGACGTCGTTAGTAACTTATCAGTATACTTTTTAACTTTACCTAAATTATACAGCTTTTTTACACGACTTTATTCTTTTAAACTAGTTTTTTTTTCCTTTTGGCGAAAGTTTTATTCAAAATAGAACCAATGTTTAGCCAATAATATGATACTTTTTAACTTTAGCTAAATTATATCTCACACAATGATAATAACAAAAACTCCACACTGATTCTATTCTTTAATAAAGTTGTTACATCACAAGAAATTCTATTAATAAATACTTTGTGCGTCTCAACACACTATGTTTAATCCTAGACACGTCTAGACTGATGAGCAGTTCGTCAGTTTATTATAACGACTCCCCCTTAGATGTAACTTGTGACACCCGTAACACGTGTACAATATACGGGATGTGCCACATGGACGATATAACAATAAAATAATAAACCGCATAAACGAAAATCTAAAAACATTTTTAATCAAACCAGAGTAAGCAGCGGAAAATACAACGCGATCAGTATCGCAAAACAACACATGTCCGAATAGTCATAATACAACCGTACAAAATGCGGGAATACAAGTTCCGTAGTCCAAAATACAAATTCTGTACATGATGCTGCATCTCTCAGATCGTCATCCCAGTGCATTAGGCGTAATCCTCGTGATTTGAAAAACATAAAACCACGATGGCTAAGTACAACTGCTTAGTGAGTAGCCTGGGTTGAACCCGTAAATCCCGTTCTCATTGAGGATGGTACAATCAACATTTCCATAAAACATATTCATAAGACAAAACATAGTCACAATCACATCAATCATAATCACACCCGTATGGAGTCCACCATAGGGTTTAACCATAATCCCTAGTCAAGTCAGCATGACTAGGAGCACCTCCATGTCCGTCACTCTCGTGACGTTGGCTGTCGCATCGCATGTGATTGCACGTGACTCACGTGCTTGTCACGTCTCGTGACCACAGATGTCAAGTCCATGACATTGCGACGGATTTGTCCGTCGCAATAAAATTAATGACGACTAACGATGGAATACATATGGAAAACAATTCGACGTAATCCGTAGGTTTCCGTCGCAAAATAAGACGACGGAATTTGACGAACTATTCTGTTGCAAAATCTTTGCAACAGAAAATGAGGGACTTCCGACGGAATTATACGACGGACCATCCGTCGTAACTATTGGCTATGGATACCGACCGTATGATCCGTCGCAAGAGTTACGACGGAAAAGTTTGACGCATTCCGTCGTTTTTCGCGACGGAAATCCGAGGCACTGTCTCCGTCGTATATTAGGTAAGAAACGTTTTTTTTGCTCAGAATGTCCGTCGCAGACGGTCGTACGTATTCCGTCGTTTTTTTGGTAGTCCGTCGGTATCCGTCGCATATGTAGGTGAATACGTGGTAATTGCGAATGCCGACGTCCGTCGCAATTCCGTCGCAATTCGCAACAATATTACACCCATCACGCGTTTAGATCACCATACGCAAACAAAAAAAAACACCAACAAATGTCTTTCAATGCAAGAAGATGGATGTATGAAAGAATAGATCCATACACAAATCAAATATGCAAAGATTTTGAAGAAGGGTTGCAAGCGTTTATGACGTTTGTTACATCTCAACCGTCATATATCGAAGGGTCGAAACTTCCATGTCCGTGTGTGAAGTGTGAAAATAAGAAATGGCGGTGTATTCAGCAAGTCTAGAATCATCTATACCGAAGAGGGTTCATGTCCAATTATTTTGTTTGGCTAGCTCACGGAGAAACATTGGACACGACGACGTCTTCATATGATGTAGTTAATCAAGTCATTATCGATGAGCAGCGAAACGAATTTCAACAAGGAGAAAGAAATCCGTATTCAGAAATGGTGATTGATGCGTTTCCCAATGTCGGTCAACCATCTTACGGGGAGGAAGAAGAGCCAAATTTTGAAGCTAAAAGGTTCTACGAGATCCTTAATACATCGAG